CCCATATCTGAATCTCAAGGGCAAGTTATCCAAAGAGAACAGAAGGAAGACACCCAAAGTTGCCATCTTATATTATCGCAGGGGTTCTCAAAGTCGTGGTTCACTTTGAGGAGTGCCACCGAGACCTCTGGGCTCTCTGAGGCCTTCCTAGGGAGACTGTGAGGTGACACTATTCTTATAAGAGTACTAAGATATGATTAGCCTTTTGCAATGTGTTGACATTAACATTGCTGGTGGGGGGAAAGAAACAACCCCAAATCCGTTGATAGTGCAAAAACAAGGTGAGTAAAACTATTGGAACTTCGTTCGGATAAAGGCAGTGGCCTTGAGCTGTTTCAGTGGAGTGTTTCTCTTCACGGACAGAAACGTGCAGCGCACAGCAACCACGGAAGTCAGTTTCACCTGAGAATGTCCTTGATGAAACCACATAAATTATTAATTTTATCAAATCTCTGTACTTTTGAGTACACATCTTCCTATTGTACTGTGTGACTAATTGGGAACTATGGGCAAAGCACTTCAACCGCAAACTGAAGTACCATGATTGTCTTGCATAAAAGCACTTGTGTGATTGTTTGAGGTGCAAGCTGGACTGACAAATGATGGTTATTCAGAATGGAGAATCTGGCAGACATTTTCTCAACAATGAAGTGAGCCTGTCACTTCAAGGAATGAACACACCTGACAGCATTTGCGGCTAATAATAAAATTCAAGGTTTCCAGCAAAACTTCAAATTTTAGAAAACTTTTATCTGTCACTATGAATTGTATAGCTCTCTAATATTTAAACCTTTTCTGATGATACTGGAAGTGGTATAATGAATGTGATTTTTGACACTGTATAATGAAACGTCTCCACTTTTGGATCATCTGCCTAAGTCAGAACACCAATATTTTCCAAATGACCAATTTATGATGTTACAAAATCATTCATTTGTATCAGATTTACTCACAGTGCAAAGGAAAGCACTGCATTTTAATGCAACAGAATACAAGTTCATTAATATGGCTTTAATATTCTATGCTGTAATTATGCTTAAAGAAAGTAGAGTAGTCCCCTCTCCCTCCAGTCTGAGGTTTTGCTTTCCACAGTTTTAGGTTCCTGAGCTTAATCATGGTTTGAATATATTAAATGAAAAATTTCAGAAATAAGCTATTCATAATTTTTAAATTGCACACCAGTATGAGCAGTATCTTGCCCTGGAAGGGAATTATCCCTTTGTCCAGTGTATCTGCACTGTGTACCTTACCTGCCCATTAGTCACTTAGAGCTGTCTTAGTTATCAGATGGACTGTCGCAGTATCACAGTGCTTCTGCTCAGGTAACCCTTATTTTACTTAATAATGCTAAGAATTGTTAAGAATAGTAATGCTGACAATTCAGATATGCCAAAGAGAAGGCATAAACTGCTTCCTTTATGTGAAAAATTGAACGTTTTCAACCTAATAAGGGGGGGAAATCACAATCGTATGCTGAGGTTGCTAAGATTTACTCTAAGAACTAATCTACCAATAAAATTGTGCAGAAGGAAAAATAAATTCACACCAGTTTTGCTATTCCCACCTCACGTTACAAAAACAATGTCCAGTGATGAGTGCTTTAAGGTGAAAAAGGCATTAAACTTTACCATAGGTATGCATGTAGAGGAAGAAACATCTTATATAATAAAAGCCTAATATGTTAAGTGCCTGGTCGTTCAGTAATCAGTTCAACCAATCAAAGCATAATATGCTAATGATATGCTAAGGTCACTCAACCTCTTGCTATGAGTGCACTGATCATCAGGGGGCAGATGCTCCCACCAGTAGTTGAGCTTGCTGCTGGGGTCTGGCTGATCTGGGCTGAGGGAACTAGGCTGCACCATGCCCTGAAGCACTCCTGCAGTCCCTCCCTGGCTGGCCAACCTCCCACATCCCTCCCTAGTCCAGATCATGCACTGTTGGAGTCCCTCAGCCTGGCCTGTGCCCTCTTACAATGCAGGACCTGATCTGTACTTTCTCACAATCGGGGGATACTGGAGAGCTGGTTTCGGCCCAATCCTGCAAGCCAGGCTGGGGGATCCCACTGGTGTATTAATTTGTGTACTGGGCCTCTTATAGTACATATACGGTTCAGTACAATCTGCACTTTCAGACATCCACTGGGGGTCCTGGAACATATCCTTTTTGGATAAGGGGGAAGTACTGTACCATTTGCAGAGTTTTGGTGTAATATCAAAGAAGATTATCTGTAATGATCTGAAAAGGTTATTAAAATATTCTTCCCTTTTCTAGTTACACACCTGTACAAGATAGAATTTTCTTCATATTTAACAATCCAAAATATAAATCATGACAGGTCGAATGCAGAGGCAAATATGAGAATCCAGGAGTCTTCTATTAAATCAGAGGTTAAAGAGATTTGCAAAAAAAACGTAGGACAATAATACTCTTCACTACATTTCTTTTGTTTTGGACAATAGTTATTTTCATAAAATTTGGGAACATGTAATAAGTTCATTATTGCTAATTCATTGCGTGTTCCTTTTAAAAAAGTAAGTAATATTTTTAAATTTCTTTTTTAACTTTTCCTATGGTGACTATTGAGAGTCACAGCCCACACAAACAAAAGACTGTGGGAGTTCCCAATAGCTTTTGCCATTAAAAACACTTGAGGACGGCGGCTCCAAGATCCTTGCAGAAAAAGCAGCATTTTTGATGAGTAATTAATAAGGAGAGAGGGACTCTGAATTTGTCAGCTTGCACTATTGTTGGGAAGCAGCATCATGGCTTCATTGGGCTTCATGGCAAGCATTGGTTATCAAGACAAAATCATCCCTGGAGACACAAAAGGAGAGGCATCTATGATCGAAGATTGGTAGAAATCATTTTTTATAATATCACATTTTTAAAGCCTTGATTGGACCTTCTCTGTGCCTTTTCAATGAGCTCCAATTTCATGAGTATTCCAGTCCTTTTTCTCCAAGGAGGGTCCGGCCCATACTTCCAGCCCACACTCCCTGTTCAGTATTGGCCCTAGTGACTAGATGTGAACTAGAAACCTGCCTCCCAGGTCACAGCGAATGCCACTCTGAGTTCAGCAATCAGCACACGGTACTTGGGAAGGCACCAGGCACTTCCAGGCTCTGAGAATAAAAAATGAGCATGTCCTGGAGAACTTTGTCTGATGGGAATAAAGACTCCTGAAGAATAATCACAGTGTGATGTGGTAAATGCTCTTCTGTTCAAAGGGACCAAATTTTCCCCAACCAAATATTAAGACACACTCTGACATCTGTCAATGGAAGCATCCTGAGGGACCTGGAATATATGTCTGCTATATTTACTAAGAAACTCACAAAAACTCCATAGACATTCTGTATAGATTTGTCCTTGATTTGTCCCAAAGGTCCAGAAACAATGGTCTGTACCTTTTAAATTTGTTTTTTAATTCTGAGAAGTAACAGTGTCAGAATAGAAAAGGGCAAGAAGCTCATTAGGATTACAAAAGATGAGTGAAGGACCCCTAACATTTTGCCTATTGGCTGGTGGATGGGAGGCACTGGGGGAAATCTTTTCCTTCATACTCGTTCCAAGTGGTTTCCACCCCCAGGCAAAGAGCCCAAGTTTGTTCTCCCAGGTCTCCCACACCAGCTGAAGCAGATCAAGTTGAAAACCAAAGTCAAGAAAATGAACTAGTAAGAGGCTCCTAAGAATTAAGCCTTAAATACATGTGGGTAAAATTAAACAATTGGGCTCTTGATCTGCCAAGAAATGTTGGAGTGCCATCTGGGTGGGCTGTCGTGGGGACCACGGAGGTTCTAGTCTGAACTGGGTCTTCTGAAGTTCTAACCATGTACCCTTTGCTCCCCCTCCTTTGGGGGCTGACTCAAATCCATCCCTTTAATCTCTTTCCCCCAGTCCCACTGTTCTTTCCCAGCTGTGGCAACTCCAAAGTGAAATGAACAAGAATCAAACAATAAACAGAAAAACCGTGCTCCGTGCCACACAGGGACATCCTGCCACCCACAGTTAAGAGAGGATGGGCAACACTGGCTCTTAAAGGCAACCCGAAAGAAAGGCAGGGAGAGAGGCCTGAAAACCCCTTTTGGAATCTTGGACCCACTCCGTACATTTGACTGTGGGCAAATCATGACGTTTCTCTGATCTCCAGTGAGTTCATCCACAAAAACTGGTTATTTCTGAGACTTAAATAACACAATGTGTAAATGGCACACAGTAAGTCTACTCTTCACCGTCAAATGTTCACAACTTTTTTTTTTTGTGATTATTTAATTAGTGTCTGTCTCCCCACTAATCTGAGTTTTATGAGAACATATACTGTCTTTTTTTTTTTTTTTTTTTTTTTTTTTGTACATTCCATTGCTAGAGTTTTGCACAGTGGCTTGGCTCATGCTAGGCATTTGTTGAGATAATAGTGTGAGAAAAGTGAGTTGTCAGAGTCCCACTTAAGGGTCTACTTTAAAATAGCAAGTTTGGGGTCTCCTGAAAAGTCTCATGGGTTGGTATTGACCACCTAGAGCACGGTGTCACAAAGGATTCTAAGGTGGACTCTGGAGTCAGTAAGGAAAGGGTGTGCTGGCAGACTACCAATGCCAGCTGTGGTTAAGGATGCTGAATATTTGTTGACCTTGGTCTGTGGGGTGTGAAGAGCAGGTCCCTTTTGCCAGCCATTTCAAGCACAAAGACATCTATTGTATTATTCGTGGAAAGAGCCATTTGAGGAGGACTGAGGGTTACAGTGTGTCTGACCTGAAGATAAGCTGCATGCCCTCAGGAATACTTTTTAAATCACAAATAAGAAGACATGTAGAACAATGCCATGCAAAGAAGCTAGAAGCAGACCTCTGTCTCAATGAATTCACTTGCGGGGAATGTGCATTTCATGAATCATTTGGCAGGAACGAGCAGACCTAACATACTTCAGCTACTGGATCCCACAACCAGACAGAACTCTGTAATGCACTTTTCCCAACCCATAAAGTAGCTGCTTTACTCACGAGGATAATCCTTTGGGTGTGTCTTCTCAGACCAGTTCCCATAAAAGGTGAGTCTGTACTTGGCAGTCCCACAGGCGCAGCAGTCTAGGATTGGTTTGTCCGTCACCCCGTCAAACATGGAATCTGAAACAGTCAGGAAAGAAAGGCACCAAGTTAGGAAGCAAATATGGGTCTTGATCTCGTCCTTAATGCCTGGGGTAAAACACGAGAGGCAGTTTTCATTGATTAATAACACAGAGAACCAGGTCAGGACTTGGACTACAAAGGATTCTGTATAGGTACCTTTCAGTATGGCAACTATATTCTGCAGTGAATGAATGAATGAATGAATAAATGAATAAAAATTTAAATAAAATAGAACTTTTGCTCTAATCAAGTGAGGAGACCTGTGGGATTAAGAAGGCAGAATATTTGGGATGGAGGTTGCATTGAGAAGCCAGAGATAAAACTGACTAAGTTATCTATTCTGGGCCCCAGTCTCTTCCCCCACCCCTCCCACAACACGATTGTCCCACCACATTTTAAGAAGAATATACGTATGTGTGTGTTTTCTCTAAGAAATATCTCCTGGGGCCAGATTGGCAGGACTGAAGGAGTTGCTTTGAAGGAGCAGTGAGAACAGAAAGACAGAGACAGAGAGATAAAGGACTGCAGAAAATTATTTTTTCAAAAAAAGATATGCATATATAATCACAACACTTCTTATCAAGCTTTCAGAGGCTTGACTGGGAGGGATGGTGGTTAGGGAATATGTTCCCAAGTTCAGGTTTACTTCTGAGCACAATGGCAGCCAGGAAAAAAAATGAAGATTCCCTCTCTGCCCCTACTTTTAGCTGTGAATAGCTGATAAGTGAGGAAAGAGAGATTACATGAATAAATTCAGAATTTCCGATTGTCAAGCCCACATCCCTAACTGCGCATTGTTGCTCGTCGTCTCTTCTGATTCCTGCAAGATGAAAACAATGACTTACAGCTGCAACTTGCTTCAAGTGCTTCAGTTTCCCTAGTGGTATTAACATAAATGTTCTCTTTTTTTCCAAGTTGGACATGTATTCTTAAATATTATACAAAGAGCAGCGACAAAGAGTACAAAAATCTTTTGAGTGGAAGAAAGAGCATTTTACAAGTGTTCCATATGGAATTCACTGGGTTCGTTTGGTTTGAATATGCAAAATCAGCGATGGGTAGAAGAAGTGCATTCTGGGCTCCAGGATGGAGAAAAAAGGACGGGTTATTGTAATAATAACTAACTGTAGAGGGTCCTTGTATGTGCTGGTTCTTTTCCATATATAACTAGGCTTGTCCTAGCAATTCTAGGAGGTAAGTACTTTAATTAATCTCATTTTACAGATCTGTGGCATATTAAGTAAGCAGCCCAAGGTCACAGGGTTAGTGAGTGGTGCAGGCAAAACTGGAGCTCAGGTTTTTTTTGAGATTGCAGCCCATGCTCTTTATTTTTATTTTTATTGATTTCAGAGAAGAAGGGAGAGGGAGAGAAAGACAGAAACATCAATGATGAGAGATAATCATTGATTGGCTGCCTCCTGCATGTGCCCTGACCAGGAATTGAATTGCGATGTCCTGGTTCATCGGTCAACACTCAACCTCTGAGCCAGTCAGCAGGGCTGGAGCCCATGCCCTTAATCTCTGCATGCTATCTGTCTAGTCAAGAACTTTGGCTGGATAGATCTGCAGAAATACCAATGAGTGAAAAACAATTTTTTAAAGGATAGTTTATTGATTTTTTTTTTTTTTTTTTTTTTTTTTTAGAAAAAGAGCAAAACATTGATGTGAGAAGGAAACATCAATCGGCTGCCTCCTACACACACCCTACAAGGGATCTAGCCCACAACCTGGGCATGTGCCCTTGACTGGAATTGAACCAGAACCTCCTGGTGTATTGGATGATGCCCAACCAACTGATCCACACCAGCCAGGGAGAGTGAAAATTCTATGTGTTTCTTTCTTTGCTTTTTCAAATGAAGAATGGTACATTAAAAAATTATTTCCCTACACAGCTCCAGGATTTCTAAACAGCCCTACAGAAAAGGTCTGAAACCAGGCAAAATAGACATCCCTTTGTGGCTACTCTTTGTACACTTGGAAGAGACCAGAGCATTGTCTGTGCTGAGGAACAGGCTCCCACTGCCTCATGCATAGGTAACACACGTCTGATTCTTGTATGAGCCACTTTGATAGTGGATATATTCAACGCTCTGTTGAATATATTTCAAGAAAGGTAGGATAAATCAATAATTCCTGAATATTTTTTGCCTTTTACATTTCCATACGACCAACTACGTTGTGAAAAAACTAAATTAGTTTTGAAAGATGGATTCAGGGCTAAGAGGTACATGCTAGGGTTTTGATGGTGACCACCAGGCATGGTCAAATGAGGCAGCAATCATCTCTCAAGAATCCAAAATAAGGCAAACTTGGAGCTTTGCCTTATCCAAAGGGCTCTTGGGTCTATGGGTGGTAAACTTAACATGTATCCAGGAGTTCAAGGGAATACATTTTTCAATAAACCTTTTGAACTTCCAGCAGAAAATAAGCTTCCACTTAAAAAGAACATTTCTAAGTTTGAAACTAGAAACAAACATATGGTTTCCCACTGAGGACAAGCCTATTGAAAATGAACCAGGCTTTCAAAGGGTAGTGATAACAAGTGTTAACTTCCCTCCTCCACTCTGCTAACCACAGCAGGGCCTGCAAAATACAGGTAATTTCAGGCCCTGCAGCTTCTCCTGAACTTCCCTCTCTCCCCACTTCTACTCTCAATCCACCAACTTCGTTTTTCAGTGTTCATCCTTTACTCTTCATTCCTCGCCTTTCTCTTCCCTTTCTCATTATCCCTTTTCTCCTGCTCCTCCCTTTACCTTCCCCTCTCCCTTAATTGTTTGTGACATGGACTTAAAGTGAGCCTGTGGATGCTTATTATGGGTCACCTTTTTTAATATTTTATGTGTTTCACTTAATTGTAAGTAGCTTAATGTTTTCTGTCTCTTTCTTAAAATAACGATTGCCATTGCTTTTTAGCTGTGCAGTTCTTAATTTTTCCCCTATGCATTAAAAGCTTCTACTGGGGGAAAAAATAATAGATACTTGCATCTCTCTCCCCTTCCCTGACTGATTTGATTGGACTCTCCAAAGGATGTAAAGACCTTAATGAAAGAGCTAGAGATAATTAAGTAGGCATACACATTTAAGAGAAATCCCTTTGCTCAATGCTGATGAATTAAAGACTTTCTTAACGTGATTTGCTTGCTAACTGATTAATTTCCTCATGGGTCTGCAGTCTCTGGGGATCATCTACAACTGTATCTAAAAATCCTACAGCTCTACTTGTGTAATACTTTAAACAATAAAGAATTAAAAAAAAAAAAAAAAAAGATCCTATAGCCCAGGTCCTGCTGGGCTCCCTACCTCCCCCCCACCCCTAAAGTTGTCATTAGACAATGGTGTTTTAGCCTTAACTGGTTTGGCTTAGTAGATAGAGCATTGGCCTGCAAACTGAAGGGTTCCAGGTTCGATTCCAGTCAAGGGCATGTACCTTGGTTACAGGCACATCTCCAGTAGGGGGTGTGCAGGAGGCAGAGACGTTTCTCTCTCATAGATATTTCTAATTCTCTATCCTTCTCCCTTCCTCTATGTAAAAAAATCATTAAAAAATATATATTTAAAACAGAAAGTGGTGTTTTAAACAGGTGCGTGTTTAGTCATTATTTTTTTCATTCAATATTAATATTAAAAATGTATTGTCAACACTGTTACAGATGTTCCCCCATTTCACCACCACCTTTACTCCTTTCCCCTCATCCCTCTAACCATCACCACACTGTTGTCCGTGCCTGTGGGCTATACATATATGATCTTTGGCTAATCCCTTCACCTTCTTTCATCCAGTCCTCTCCCCATCTCCCCTCTGACCTCTTTCAGCCTGCTTCATGTATCCATGCTTAGAGGATCTCTGCTTCAGAAGCAATAACCAATAGAGATTTGCAATGCCACTTCACTGACACTATCTTGCAGAATTTTAGCATAGTCATAACTTAGATAAGGATTGAGTTTTTGGGATGTGCACTTAGTTAAGGACTGCTATCAGTATGTAAGTGTCAGCCAAGGGCCTCCTTAGAACCCTCAAATCTGGGAGATAAGGTTGTCCTTAATAGTCAAACTAACAAAGCCATCCCCCAGTGGTTGTGATTAGCCATCTGTGAGTGTAAACCAAAACGTGGCCTGTAAATGTGTGATCCAGAAAACTCACAACTCCAACTGATACAGGACTTCAATAACATCTCATGGAGTCCTGGTAGGAATGGGATTGCTCTTTAGAAATCGAGAGCCTCAATAGTTGAAATGTTCCCTTGTTTGGAGAAAAGCTGCGTGGACATGTGAACAATTAAATATGGGAAAGGAAAGCCCCAAAAGCTATGTATGGGGATGCCCACCTGGAAATTTACCAGGTTCCTGACCCACAGGTTCCATTCTCTGGCTCCTGTCCTATAGCCCTAATGCAGGTATCTTACCTCTCCCTGTTTGCTCTTTCCAGGCTTAAAATGCAACACCACTCCCACTATATAGTATCTAACTTCCGTTCTAGCTCATCTGCAGGGAAACATTTGCTTCAGAATGCTTTTATCTACCAAAGGCAACAGTTCACACTATTGAATTGGGAGGTAATCCCTTTGACAGAAAGGAAATGGTTAAGGGCATTGGCTCTTAGATTCAAACCCTGCCCTCTACTGCAAGCTGAATGATGCTGAGCAAGCCATTAAATTTTTCCCACCTCAGGCTTCTCATCTATAAAATGGGATGATGCACCGAAACCAGTTTGGCTCAGTGGATAGAGTGTCAGCCTGCAGACTGAAAGAAAGGTCCCGGATTCTATTCCGATCAAGGGCATGTACCTGGATTGTGGGCACATCCCCAGTAGAAGGTGTGCAAGAGGCAGCTGATAGATGATTCTCTTTCATTGATGTTTCTAACTCTCTATCCCTCTCCTTTCCTCTCTATAAAAAATCAATAAAATATATTTTAAAAAATAAATAAAATGGGGATGATGTAATGGATTTTACCATATAGGGTTGTGCAGATTACTGCTTAAGGTCTGTGAAGTGCTTAGAATAGTGCCTGAGATGTAGTAAGCACTCAAAAAAATTTACCTATTCTTATAATTTTCCCAGAAGACCTTTATCAACTTTTCTTTTTCTTAATAGTTTATGATTTGCTAGAATTAAAGAGGATTATTTCTTCTCAAAATGCTAATGGCTTGAAATGCAAATAAACTTCTGCAAAAATGAATAGAAATGAGATAAAGATGTATAATTATAGAACATTTTCTATTTTTACTTGGTTCTTTAATGACTTCTAAACACATTCAGATGTGTAAGATCTTCATTTTTTTTACAGAAGATTTATAAACAAGCTTTCAGATACAGATAACAATAGCTAATACTTACAGGTAGCATTTACTCTGTGCCAAGGAGGCATGGTATGATTTCACATGTATTAAGTCAGATGGTGAAGAAGAGCAGAGGCAGGCTTTGAACCCGGATCAGATCTGAATCCAGGCATCTGCCCTGACCTCCCCTGTCTACTTGGTCTGCATGGGCTTTGTTAGAATACCTTCAACCCGTGGAGAGGGCAACGATGACCTTGCACATCTAAGGTCCAGATCCTTGAATGTGGTAAAATCAGCAAGGCCAATGCCCCCATGGCAACCCCATCCCCTCTGTGCTTCCCTGGAGAAGATTCCTCCATTTTGTCCGCCTACTACCCAAGTTTCTGTTGGTGATTATTCTGGAAAACCATTAAAACTTCTTAAAGGTACACAACTGTGCATTCCTTAATTAAGTCCTGCGAATTATTCCAGGGAACCTCTTCAGAATAATCACTGTTTCACAAAAATAAAAAAGACGACACCACTATAAGGTACATTATCTCCTACCCAGGGAACCAAGCTGGGTAATTAGAGCTTAAGGCGGATCCAATTATCCACAGCACACAGCCAGATTAAAAATTGGAGCTACGTGAGGAAGCGGGACCCAGAGGAACTCAGAAAGCACATCATCTTAATTCCCGAGGCCAGGTGTTTGGACTGAATAAGCCACCTTCCATTTACTTGGCTCTCTCCCGCTGCCTGCTCTTACCTTGTTCACAAAGTTTCTTGGTCAAAGAGCCCTCATCTTGAAAATAAATGATGCGTTTCTGTACGATGCTGGCCCTGTAAGGAAAGAAGACAGTGCGGTGATGAGGATGTCAGTTCTTGCCTGGCCACTGATAGCTGTGAGGCTTTGGGTGAATCACCTCAATTCTCTGTACCTCTGTATCTCCATCAGAAAATTGACAATAATAATACCTATCTCGTGGGATTTCTATGAGAATTAAATAAGAAACTATATGGTAAGAGCTTAGCACATAACCTAGAAACCGCTCAATAAATATTAGTAATTGTATCGGTGGTACTGCTGCTAATATTAAAGAAAGAAAGCATTTTCAATAATTTTCTCAATGGTTCCTTTTACTCTATAGCAAACTATTGAGGTCATTGTAGATTAACCAAATTCAAATCAATTAAGCATTTCAAATCCTCTTCCTGAAGGGGAAAAAAAGGAATTTAAAAATATTTTTTTTATTTGCTCTGAAAATGTCATTCTATAGCTTCCCTGAAAGTCTAGACAAAACTGTCTCCTACATTTTGAACAAAGACAACTCAGCTGTTATAGCTCTCTTTTAAACATGTCAAACAGACTCGTAGAATCTGGAAAGAATATTCTGAGGTTGAAAAATGACTTACTTTTGGCCAGCACATATTTTCTCTTTAATTAGACATGCTACTTCTCCTGCAACTCACCCGGCTACTTATTTTGAGTTGGCTTCACATAAGTTAAATCTCCAAACTCAGTGTTCCAGTAATTTGAAAGTCTACTATGCTGAATGCTGAGACAGTGCCAGTGAATCTCCAGCCATTTCTATTGATTTTCTTTAGCAGTGCTACTTGATCAAAAGGTAATTTTTACTTTAATTTACCTTATTAAACAGGTAAAGGGAGCCCTTGACTCCATCCCAGCTGACCACACTGAATGAGTGATAAGAGTCGCACAGTTTGCCTTGTATCACATGATCTCACACTTAGGAATGGAGCCAAGTGTGCACAGATCTGCTGAGTACAGAGGCAATTTTCTTGCTGGTCTGGGCCTGGGCCAAGATGACTTTCCAAAGAAACGTCTACTCTACACCCTGTCTTGCATAAAAGGCTAAAATTCAGACTAGTCTACATATGTCTTTTATAGTCTTTCCCCACCCAGGGGAGACAAGATGTTGAAATAAATGAATGAAATATGCTTCCTGTCTACACAAAGCTACTTTGATCATTTATCCATTCTGTTGACCATCAAGCAGAAAGTTCCCTCAGGCAAGAGAACAATCTTGAGAACACTTACTCTCACCCCAGAGCCAGATAACAAAGCCTTTTATTAGTCAAAATATCCCATAATGCTTTTCAAAGTGTTTCCCACCAAGAAGGGCTTCAGGGACCCATGTGGAAGGCAAGGAGAAGGCCTAGTGGGAAGTATTCCAGGCCCTACATTCTTGCTTCAACCAAAGGCTCTATCCTCATTTCAACCAAAGCAGCATCCTCCCCCATCTGCCTTCTTGTTTAATATACTGGTATTATATTCAACAAATAGTTGTTGGAAACCCACTTAGTGGCCAGACACTGGCCAGGGACACTGTCATGAACAAGACAGATGGGGCCACTTTTCATTCTGAAAGTTTACACTATTGGGGGGGGGGGGGCAGCATCAAACAACTAAATCCTTACCTAATCATTTAACACAACTGTGATTAAGTGTTTAATGGAGAAGTTCACATGCATGGGAGAATATAACACAGAGGATCTAACCAAGCTCGGAAAGGCTCTCACCAGAAAAGATGGCTAAGCACAGATTTGAAAGAGAAGGAATCTAACTAGGCAATTGGGAGGGAGAAGCAAGGGAGAAGACTTCTTTTGTAAAATCCTTGAAGTGGGAGGGTCAGGACTCATTGGAGAATCTACAAATGGCAAACCAGAGAGGTGGTGTGAAACGAGCTGGAGAGTGGGCAGAACCACATCATCCAGAGCCTGCAAGGAGATGGTGTTTTACTCCAAGCTCGAAGAGATATTTGAAGAGTGTGTCCTATGGAGTGAGACGATCAAATTTGCTCTTTTGAAAAAACTCTTGAGTCAGAGAATAAAAATGGGTTGGTGTGTGGTTGCAGTATACAGAGCATGAGAGCTGCCAATCAAATTTTGTCTCAATAAAATTCTCTTGTCAAAATAGTTTGAAAACCCCTGATGTTCAGGATAAATATAAACTCACTATAGGATTTAAGGCTTTTCATAAAGTTTCTCCCAAATATCCCTCTGGCTTCATTTATTGACACTTGGTGCCATGCTCCCTGGGTTTCAGACATTGAGAAGTTTATGTCACTTATCTGAACACTTTGTCCACTCTACCAGTGCTGTTTTCTCCCCCAAAAACCTACATTTGCTAGTGTCTATAACAAATATTTTTCATTTTCTTCCTCCTGCTGTAAATATGAGAACAATGGCAAAGTCAATGACTCAAAAGCATGATCTCACTTTGAAAAATTAAATCATCCTCAAGTTTCCCAAAAATGTGATTGCAAAAATTTGGAAGTCCAGAGTTAGAAAATATTTATTTCCTATAAGATGTTTCAGTTTCCCTCATCCTTTATTTTCTAACATCTAAGGTGGCTCACTCTCTCCTTTTGGCAATAGTGGTAACTTCTGAGCCCCTGCACTGTGCCTGCTTGTCCCCGGGCCATGGAGGCCCTTAAGGTACTTATTCCATATATCATATGCTTACATATATTCCAGGTCCTCAAATTCCTCACTCCAAACCTTTGGGCTAGATGTGTTTTTGAATTCAATTTTTCAGATATTAGAAAGGTAAGATCATCCCCATAAGCAAACACATTAATATTCTACTGCAAAATGTAAGAATATTTATACTAAGAGGATAAGTAAAACTATAAGGAGCTTCATGTCACTTTAGGTCAAGTTTGGCAACTTATAAAAATGCTCATTTTCAGAGGGATTATGATGAGGGCTTGTGGTTATTTTCACCCTTATCTTCCAGGTGGGAATGGCAGAGGTTAAAGTAACATGCCTAAGGTTTTGAAGTTCTTTCTATTTACCTCCCAAGTCCACGGTTAGTCTCATGCTCAGAGTGGTTGTAAAGATTAAAGATTAGGTAGAAAAAGTTCAATTGCCCTGTGAGATATTATGAAATGTAATCCCCAATTAATTTTCCTTGGGTCAGTTTTCCTCAGATCATCTCATGGAACACACTGTGGAAAACTGAGATTCTGGTGGGCCTGCTGGAGCCTGGGCTGTGATCACTATGAAAAGCCTGAGCATACATCTCCATGCCTGTGGTTGGCCAGCGCTCTGTATCATGCCCTTTGGATTTCAAACTCAGTGCAGATCAAATGTTGTATACATCAAATGGGGTTCTGATCTGGCCCTGATGATTTGGCTTCATCCCGATCCAATCCTATCCAAGCCATGTTCTATATGTGTCTTCATGGTCTTATACCTCTGGGCCTCTCCATGGGACTTTTTCTGTCCTTCATTACTCTACAACATAACACACACACACGCACACACACACACAGTATCTTTCTCTCTCCTCCCCCCCCTCTCCCTCTCCTCCCCCCCCCCTCTCTCATACACACACACACACACACACACACACACACACACACACACACACACAATTCAGTTACCTACCTCATACTAAACTATATTATTTCCCAGGTTGATTCCTTAACTGGATGGTCTTCCTATGAGAACCACAGCCACAGCCTCTTGGGTTTTTCCCACCACAGCACTGATTAATCTATATTATAATTGCCTGTTTACTTTTCTAACTCCTGTGCTAGATTATTATATTTTTGAGAGCAGGAACTACATCTTACTTATTTCTATAGACATCAGTAGCATTGCAGTATGGGGAGAAGAAACAGGATCAGGGGAAAGGAGAGAATTTGAGATTGAGCTGTCTATAGGATATGACGGTGGTCTGTCTAGTGGGGAATCTGACATAGGGATCTGTAACTCAGGGGAGATATGAAGGGGTGGGAAGTATGGATATAGATGTTACTGAGGCAAAAGTAAAAGTTGAAGCTTTCAGAGTGGCTGATGCCACCCAGGGAATGTGTGCAGAGGAAGAAGGACTTTGCCCAGGACTTTGAAGAAGACCAATGCTCACCTACCGATATGCCAGCAGAGACCAAGGATATGCTTGGTTGCAGAAGATGCTTCTTTTATATTCCCAGGAAATGCATTTCACTTTAAGTCTGTTCGCATTGAAAGTATAAAACGCAGCTGAGATTTATAAATCATATTATCGTTCAGGAAAATAATAGCTTTACAAGATGAGAAAGCTGTTAGTAAGAATTCCCTTAGCATTTCAAAATGACAAATTTCTCCCATTCTGTGTTGCAATTTGGCTGTCCTATTGCATAGCATTTCTATGTTGATCTACTGAATGCTCTCTTATCACGAGAGAGTGTGTTAAGGAAATCTAAATTAAATTTCCCAGTGTGTTAGCTTCTCAAACTTTGGAAGATTGAGATTCTAAATTACTTAATCATTTTAAAAGTTTTCTTTTAAACCTAAAGTGGAACATTTCCAGAAACACCATTGGGAATCTCTTGGATGCTTGGCCCTTTTCTGTCTGAAGGGTTTATTTATTGGCTGTTCTTTTTACTCAGGGAATTTGCCTGTTGGAGTGAAGTTCAAGTTTGCTAAGTTGTAGATTTGTCTAGTGTTGAAAGGGCCTGAGATCCCTGCTCTCACTGAAAAGGGATCGGGAGACCTTAAAAACTAAAGGACTTGGCCAATAAATGCTTAAAAATACACATGGGTCATCAGTGGCTGGGTCATTGCCATGTACAGATCATTCATGCAAGTCCTTACTGCATGCATGTTTTGAATATTCAGTGTGTGGTAGCCTTTATTGTTGCAATGGTTAAGTTGCCAGCCCTTAAGTTGCCAGCCCTTAACCTGGCACACTAACACATTTAATAAATAGTAGCTATTGTTATGATTGATGTCAGGTCTGTCATCTTCCCCTGTGGAGAGAAGAGTGAGGGGCTACCCTGGTTATCTGCTCTAGGTGGAGATAATGAATGGCCAAAAGGAAGCTTGGCTTT